CTTGGTGGGGGGGGGGGTTGGGAAAGGGGGGGGCTGGCAATCATTTTTTTTTTTTTTTTTTTTTTTTTTTTTTTTTACTTAAAAAGATGACCGGTAAGGGGATCTTAACCCTGGACTTGGTGTTGTCAGCACCACGCTCAGCCAGTGAGCGAACCGGCCATCCCTATATGGGATCCGAACCCGTGGCCTTGGTGTTATCAGCACCGCACTCTACCGAGTGAGCCACAGGCCGGCCCCAAGGCAATCATTCTTCTGAAAGCCCGGATGCCCTTGGGGGCCCAGCACTTTGGGCACGAATCTGCTTTCCTTCGATGCATTTCGTCCACATTGTCCCCCGCCCCCTTCCCTTCGGAGCAGGCATTCTTGCTAACCGTTCTACGCCCCCCCACCCCCAATTGGAATTATAATGCTGCACATTTTTATTTTCACAAGGAGCTGGTTTTGTGTTGAGATGTTGGTGACAGCCATGTCTCTCCAGAAAGTCCTTCAGTTTATTTATCTGCTAACCCTTTTTAAAAATCCTAATTCCATGCAGCTGGCAAGAAGAGACTGGTACCAGGCTTTCTATAGGAAAAAAAAATCGTTCTCAGTTGGGTCCCCAGCATTTCTTTGTGTCTATTTATTATACACAATTTCTCTCAATCTAGGTCATTGTGTATCAGACACTAAGATTTCAGGACAGTATATTTACGATCTCTTACATCCTGTTATTTTAAATGATGTACTAACGTGTTAAAATTTTGCCTTCCAGAGACAGTCGTAGAAATATCCCTGTGGAAAATAAAATTTAACATTTATTTCATGTATAACTGATCGTGTGGCTGAAGTGAGCAAGATATTCCCTAAACTATTAAAATTATATTTGCTCTCACAATTTTCAGATTCTTTTCAATGGCAAATTCCAAGCGATTTTGCATTTATCTATTATACTTATTGTTTTAAGTAACTGAAGAAATCTGATAGAAAGCGAACTTACGTAGATGAATTGGTAGTACATTTAAAAGCATTGTTTTTAATGAAAAAATATTTTTAACACGTTTATTGAAATCACAAGACATTTAGCTTTAGAATTTCCCCCCGCTGCTTGCCGGCATTCACTACTTAAAATGCAGTCTGCAGCCCGCATAGCCTGACCCCCGAGACTGCAGCCGAGATGCACGCGGTTTCCGAGGCAACCGACACTTAGCCAATGAATGAAGAGGAATTGAAAGAAAAAGACTGTAAATCCATCATTATTTCCTTCTCTCCTTTTTTTTCCCCCTCTCTCCTCAATGCTCTCCAGTTAGAAATTGGAAAGCTACCAATCCTAACATTTATGTAAAGGAGTCAGGTGCTCAGAGAATTGGGGCTAGGAAGGGGTGGCAGCCCCATATTGTAATTGTGGGGAGGGGGCGATGGAGGGGGTTCCTGGGACCCAGCGAGATCTGCGCTTTCTCAGCTTTGTCGCTGCCCCCGTCTGCATCCCACTGCCCTCTCCCTTTCCTCTCAGGCCTTCCCTCCTCCGGATGGAAGCGAGCAGCGCCGGGCAGAGCTGCCCTGTGTTCTTGAATCAAAGGGGCTGCCTGGGTGAGAGACTCAGAGCCCTCGTCCTTCCTCAGCCTCGGGGCTCTGTAAGAACAAGCAAGCCCAGGTAACAAAAAGCTGGAATAGCGGAGAAAATTCCAAGTCTGTGAATGCAGGGCAGCGACGGAACGTTTACTCTTTGTTCCTTGGGAAGGCTGGGCGTTTTCCCGTCGCCGGAGGTCGCGATGTGCTAGAACGGCCTCGGTCCACACCCACAGTGCTGAGCTTTCACGAAAGAAGTGTGGGAGAAAGAGAAGAGGGAGTAGAAACCTGGCTTTCCAGGGCACCATTTCCCTTTAATAGGCAGCCTCCCCTCCCCCAACCCGTCAATGACTTGGAAGGTTCTCAGACAGGCTGGGGGTGGGTGGGGGAGGGGCAAGTGCACAGAAGCTCGCGCTGCGGGTCCTCGGTCCGAGCCGGCTGAGCAGAAGAGGAAGCGGAAGAGGAGAAAACGCTTAAACGAGAGCATTCTAAAACACAGCGAAGGACCGTGTGCCCCTTGCAAGGGCAGTCTGTGAAATCAACACACTTAGGAATAAATCCCTTTAAAATGAATGAGTACGCACGGGGACATATGCTGAGGGAGCCATTTTAAGTTTCAGGGACAGATTGCTGCAATATTAATGTGATTGTGGAGCTGTCACCTCACGTTAGAAACCATTCCACCAGCAACTGCTGCTGGTCATACTGTCTCCACAGCTATTTCTCTCTGAAATCTGCCCTAGACCTTTGCTTGCCATTTAAATAAAATGGGAACGTGTATTTAGACGGCTCTACAGGCTTG